CCCTCACTGCCCTCAAGTCGGATCCGACTCATAGTGACCCCTCCCTCCTTGGGTTTCTGAGGCGGTATCACTACGGAAGTAGATTGCCCAGTCTTCCTTCCAAGGAGTGGCTGGTAGGTTTGAACCAGCGTTCTGGTCAGCAGTCAGATGCCTTAGGCACTACGTCACCAAAGCTCCCAGAAATATAGCCAGGACTATTCTATGAAGGCAGGAAAACAACGCGGCAACTCAGAATCTGGTTCCTTTCTGCTCTGGCTGCCCAGCTCGATTGTTAAAATAGGTTTTGGGGTGGGTTGCCTGGTTTGTAGAGGCTAATTCATTCCCCACTGATAGCCCAATCTGCGTTTTCAAAGGAAGGTCAAGTGAGGACAGACAGAGCATGCCCTGATGGCTTTCAGTGAGCACAGCCTTGAGCTCAAAGAAGCCCTGAAAGCAGCTGGCCTCTCGGATAGCTCATTTAGCGACAAAACTGGAATTCTGACCTTAAAGAAACAGGGTCAGAATGGAAGGAGCATAATGTTTTCTGTTTTTTTTTTTCCTCGGAATTCCTACACTTCATTTGAAGGTATTTGGTATATTTGGGAACTACTGATTCATAAAACTATTAGTCCTCTCTCTCTCTCTCTCTCTCATTCAGTTATGAGCACGTGTGAGAACACACACACACACACACACACACAGTTTGCAGGAATGCTTTCCATCACCTTTACAGCCTTTTCCTGCTATTGTGTAAGCCCAGCACTGAGGAGGGAAATCAGAATCAGACCAACTCTAAATCAAGATTAACACACAACCAGCCTCTGGGCACACATCACAGAGGGAGGGGAATCCAGTTTTCTGAGGAGATATTTCTTGCTTTTGCTTTTCCTGATGTTTACTTCTGATCTTTGCTTTTGGTTGCTCCGGACATTCTATTTCTGCTTGTGAATTGGGATATTTATACTGGTAACAAATCAACGTTTCCTGGTCTCAACTTCAATTTCCTTTTCCTGCCATCATAGCCTCTTTCTAATGATAACATTTTATTTCCTTCCCTCCCATGTAGTTGCTAAAGTTTAATTTTGTAATTTAAAATCCAAAAGCAAAACCCTTGATCAAAATCCGAGAAACTTAACTATCAGCAAGGAGATCAAAGTGCTCTCTGGGCGTGCTTTCCCACAGCACCTCAGGGAGCCATGTGGCGCCATGCTTACCTCGGTGCTCTCTTCATCGCTGGGCACACTATTGGTAGTTTCACTTTCTGTTCACAGAGAGAAAAACAGAGGGCCGTCAGTCTTACTACTCACACTGTTTTAAGGCCCACTCTAACAAATATATCAGCACTTGTTTTTTCGAAAGAGAAATGGATAACTAAACTTACCATCTCCCTCCCTTTTGTAAGGTCAAACACAAAAACTGCTTGGGAGATCTAGAGTGAATTTTAACTCTGTAATTTTGGTCCTTTGGAGAAAGCTGCTTTTAGAGGTGTTATTGTTGTTAGTTGCTTTCAAGTAGATTCCAACACATGACAACCCCTGTGTGCAGCGCAGAACTGCTTCATAGGGTTTCCAAGATTGTGTGACCTTTCAGAAGCAGGTCACCTGGCCTGTCTTCTAAGAAACCTCTGGGTGGGTTCCAAACACCAATCTTTCGGCTAATGTTGTTGTTGTTATGTGCCGTCGTGTTGGACCCGACTCATAGCGACCCCTCCTTGGGTTTCCATGGCAGTATCACTATCGAAGTAGATTGCCCAACCTTCCTTCTGAGGAGTGGCTGATGGGTTTGAATCTCGCCAGCTTTCTGATTAGCAGTCAAGTGCCTTAGCCACTACGCTACCAGAGCTCCCTTTTGGCTAACAGTCAAGTACTTAACCATTTATGCCACCCAGGGACTCTTTTAGAGGTGAAGGGGTAACTTTATCTTCCAAGGCCAGGCTATGTTTACACTACTTTCCAATGGGGGTGTTGATTCACAAGGTGCCAATCTGCTTTCTGTTCTTCATGCACTTTGCTCCAGCCTGACTCTACTTCAGGCCCTTTCCCTCACTGCTGCTTTATCCACAATGCCTTTTGCTGGTGTTCTCTTACAGTTTAAGCCAATTATTTCATATAAATCCCAACTCAAAGTCCCCAGTATCCTAGAAAGTCTTCTTACATCTCCCCATTCCACTCTGATCCCTCCGTTGCCTCATATCCCTTTAGTATACCAGTATATCTCAGGTTTAGAGAATTTTATGTTCCACCTGGGATATGGTGGTAAATAGATTCTAGGGTGGCCTCATGATTTTCAGTTCCAAGTGTTCTCTGTTCTGTGATTCCCTTGAGTAAGAACACCAAAATTAATAAGTGAAGTACCTGAATAGTAGGAAAGAGCTATATTCTTGTCCAAAGTCAGACACCATTTTTATTTTTAGAATAGGTTCTGCTTCAAAACTACAGCCTGTCATTTCTGTAAGTTTCCACTGTGCTTCACTGCTACCAACAGAGAAGTGACTTTTAGAACAGAATAAGGGAACTTTAACAATAGAAGGATGGGACCAACATGCATTCCCAGGAGACAAAAGGTGAAGATGTAAAATCATTTAGGAAGAGTATGTCAAGATGTAAATAACTGTTGTCAGAAAGAATAAGCTCTTAGTAACTAAACTCTTAGTAACCAGTCAGGATATAAACATTTGAGAAGAATGTGTGAAGAGTTTGCCCTGGAACCAACTACAACCACAAACAAACAAACAAAAAACCCAAACCCACTGCCACTGAGTCAATTCCAACTCATAGAGACTTTATAGGACAGAGCAAAACTGCCCCATAGTGTTTCCAAGGCAGTAAATCTTTACAGAAGCAGAATGCCTCATCTTTCTCCTGCAGAGCAGCTGGTAGGCTCAAACCACCAACCTTCTGGTTAGCAGCCAAATGCCTTAACCACTGTGCCACCAGATCTCCCCACAATTATGAATCAAACACCAAAACCAAACCCACAGCCATTGTGTTGATTCTGACTAGCTGATTACAATTCTACTTTCAAGAAAAACCAAACTAGCTGGCCCACTTCCCTCTAACAAGATGGTCAAACTTTACACTTCAAAGGTCTTCAAACTGAAGCTGATCTTATCTATAATCAGTCATCCCTCTACATTTCCTTTGCTTCTCTATGTATAAAAATCTCTAACTTCGTAAAGACATCAGAACACTGTTTTGAAAGCATTCTCAACTGTGTTTTCCCACTTTGCTAATTGTTTTTGTTTGTTTTCTTCAATAAAACTCTGCTTTTACTTTAAGCAGATAGATTCCATGACACTGTCTATGGGTGCTCTATGACACCCTTCTCTTGAGTATGGTGAGACCTTTGACTTGCTTCTAACCAACAGAATATGGTAAAAGTAACAGCATGTATGTGGTTACATGTATGCGATTAAGTTACACAGGATTGAAACCTGTTTTGTGAAGAGACTCCCTTGCTGGTTTTAAGGAAGTGAGCAGCCATGTTGGGAAGGTGGCCATGAAGAGGCACCTTCCAGCTGACAGCCAACAAAACTCTAAGGCCCTTCAGTAAGGAACTGAATCCTGCCAACAACCACATGAACTTGGAACGGTCCTCTTCCTCAGCTGAGCCTTGATGACATAGCAGCCCTGCCAACACCTTGACTGCAGCGTTGTGAGACCCTGTAGCACAGGGCCCAGCTAAGCCATGCCTGGATTCTTGACACACAAAACCTGAGGAATAAAAATGATGTGCTATTTTAAGCCACTAAGTTTGTGGTTAATGATCTATGGTGATGCAGTTCCAAAAGCATTTGATGGCTAAGCAGAAGGTTGGCAGTTCAAACCCACCAGAAGCTCTGCATAAGGAAGCCAGGAGAATCTACTTCTATAAAGATTTACACCCTTGGAAACCCAGTGGGGGTCTCTATGAGTCAGAATCGATTCGATGGCAGTGGGTTTGTTTTGTTTTGGTTTAAGTTTGTAGTTATATTGTTTCATAGTAATAAACAGTTATTCAGTTATCATCAGTTGTAAGACACTGAGCAAGTTACTTAACCTCACTGGGCTGCAGTTTTCCCCCCTAAAATGGGGCAACTAATACCTTCCTGAGAGGATTATGTGATGTGTAAATAAAAAGGTGTAGCACTCATGCCCAGCAAAGGGCATGGTACACAGTAGATAATAAATAAATGTTAGACATCCATAGATTCCACACAAAGACAAATTAAATATCCCTATGTTCTTTAGGACCTCGGAAGGAAGGTTGGGCAATCCTACTTCCGTAGTGATACTGCCTGGGAATCCCAAGGAGGGGTTGCTATGAGTCGGGTTTGACTCGACGGCACATAACAACAACAACAACATGTTCTTTAGGAAGGAAGGTTGGGCAATCCTACTTCCATAGTGATACTGCCTCGGAAACCCAAGGAGGGGTCGCTATGAATCAGGGCCGACTCCACGGCAAACAACAACAACAACAACATGTTCTTTAGGGGAGCTCTGATAGAGTAGTGCCTAAGGCACTTAACTGCTAATCAGAAGGCTGGCGGTTCAAACCC